TCTCTTGTCCCATAATATCCATAAGGCCATGAATGTGAACCATTTCACTTACTTCTTGTGTACCACTCTTGTTGATGGCAATGCCTAGAACAAGACCAGGACTCAGGTGCCCAACATGTGCTTGTGAATGAAGACTCTGTCTTTGAGTTCAGGCTCTAGACATCATATCGATGCCACATCTCCTAAGATGACTATCCCATGTTACCACAAATTATAAGACTTCATGATTTTAATGGCTGGATAGTATTTCATTGTGTCTATATACCACATTTTCTTTATTTGTTTGTTGATAGACACTTAGATTGATTCTGTGTCTCAGCTATTGTGACTAGTGCTGCAATAAACATTGGAGTGCAGATATCTCTTCAGCATACTGAGTTCACTTCCTTTGAATAAATACCCAGTAGTGGGATTGCTGGATGATATGGTAGAACTATATTTAATTTTTTAAAAGAACCTTCATACCATTTTCCATAACGGCTATACTAATTTACATTCCTGCCCACAGTGTGTGACAGTTTCTTTTTGTCCACATCCATGCTAGCATTTATTTTTTTTGTCATTTTGATAATAGTTATTCTAATTGGTGTGAAGTAGTATCTCATATGGTTTTGATTGGCATTTCCGTGATAATTACTGATGTTGAGCATTTTTTTCATATACCCCTGTTGGCCATGTGTATGTCTTTTGAGAAGTATTTATTTAGGTTTTTTGGCTATCTTAAAAATCAGATCATTATTGTTATTTTTTGCTGATGAATTGTTTGAGTTCCTTATATATTCTGGATATTAACCCTTATCAGGTGCATAGTTTACAAATATTTTCTCCAATTCTGTGGGTTGTCTCTTCAGTCTATTGGTTGTTTCCTTTGTTGTACAGAGGCTTTTTAGTTTGATATAATTCCATTTCTCTATTTTTGCTTTTGTTTCCTGTGCTTTTGAGTTTGTCTCCAAAAAATCCTTGCCCAGACCTATGTCATGAAGTATTTTCCCTATGTTTTCTTCTAGTAATTTCAGATCTCTAACTTAAGCCTTTAATATACTTTGAGTTGATTTTGACATATGGTGAGATGTAAGAGTCAAGTTTCATTCTTCTGTATATGAATATCCAGTTTTCACAGCATTATTTGTTGAAGAGACTGTCCTTTCCCCACTGTATGTTTTTAATGCCTTTGTTAAAAAATCAGTTGGCTGTAGTTGAGTAGATTTATTTCAGGGTTCTCTTCTGTTCTGTTGTTCTATGTGTCTGTTTTATTCCTACACCATGTTTTTTTGGTTACTGTAGCTTTCTAGTATATTTTAAAGTTGAGTAATGTGATGTTTCCAGCTGTGTTCTTTTTCGCTCAAGATTGCACTGGTTCTTCAGGGTCTTTTTGTGGTTCCATATGAATGTTAGGATTGTGTTTTATTTTTTATTTTTTTATTTTTTTTATTAAGACAGGGTCTCTCTCTGTCACCAGGCTGGAGTGCAGTAGAATGATTTAGGCTCACTGCAGCCTCTACCTTTCAGACTGAGGGAATCCTCCCACCTCAGCCTTCCAAGAAGCTGGGACAACAGGCATGCACCACCACACCTGGCTAATATTTGTAGTTTTTGTAGAGACAGGGTCTCACTATGTTGCCCAGGCTGGTCTCAAATCCCAAAGTGCTAGGATTATAGGCATAAGCCATTGCATCCAGCCTTGTATAAACATTTAAAAAATACTCTTTCAATCCATGAACACAGAATATCTTCATATTTATTTGCATCCTCTTAATTTCTTTCATAAATGTTGTATAGTTTTCATTGCAGAGATCTTCTCCTTGGTTAAATTTATTTCTAGATCATATGTGTGTGTGTGTGTGTGTGTGTGTGTGTGTGTGTATGTGTATGTATTTGGTAGCTATTGTAAATGGGATTGTTTTCTTGATTTTGTTTGAGACAGAGTTTTGCTCTTACTGCCCAGGCTAGAGTGCAATGGCACCAACTCTGCTCACTGCAACCTCCACCTCCTGAGTTCAAGAAATTCTCCTGCCTCAGCCTCCCGAGCAGTTGGGACTACAGATGCCCACCATAACGCCCGGCTAATTTTTGTATTTTTAGTAGAGACCGGGTTTTACCATGTTGGCCAGGCTGATCTCATACTCCTGACCTCAAGTGATCCACCCGCCTTGGCCTCCCAAAGTGCTGGGGTTACAGTTGTGAGCCACTGAACCTGGGCACTTTCTTGATTTCTTTTTCAGATAGCTCAGGGGTGGCATATAGAAATGCTACTGATTTTTTGTGTTGATTTTTGCATCCTACAACTCTACTGTATTCCTCTATTCTAATAGTTTTTTGATGGTTTCTTTAGGGTTTTCTGTTTATAAGATCATGTTATCTGAAAACAGGGACAATTTGGCTTCCTCCTTTCTAAATTGAATGCCCTTTATTTCCTTCTCTTACCTTATTGCTCTATCCAGGACTTCCAGTACTATGTAGAATAGAAGCAGTGAAAGTGGGCATCTTTGTCTTGTCCTAGATCTTAGAGGAAAGGTTTTCTTTCAACTTTTCCCCATTCTGTAGGATGTTAGCTGGGAATCTGTCATATATGACCTTTATTGTGTTGAGATGCACTTTTTCTATACCTAATTTGTTGAGAGTTTTTTTATCATGAAGAGAGATGTTAAATTTTATCAAATGCATTTTTTGCCTCTATTAAAACTATGTTTTTCAATGTTGATTCCATTAATGTGATACATCATGTTTGTTGATCAATGTATATTAAACTATTCTTGAAACTCTGAGATGAATTCCACTTGATCATGGTGAATGATCTGTTTAATGTGCTGTTGAATTTGGTTTGCTAGTATTTTGTTGAGCATTTCCACATCTATTTTCAACAGGTGTATTGGCCTGTAGCTTTCTTTTTAGTTCTTGTCTGGTTTGGGTATCAGGGTGATGCGGGCCATGTAGAATGAGTTTGGAAAACTACCCCCTCTTCAATTTTTTTCCAATAGTTTGCAAAGGATTGGTATTAGTTCTTCCTTAAATTTGGTAGAAATCAGCAGGGAAGCCATCACGCCCTGGGATTTTCTTTGATAGGAGACTTTTTATTACAGATTCAATTTCCTTAACTCATTATTGGTTTGTTCACATTTTCTGTTTCTTCATGATTCAGTTTTGATAGCTGTATTTGTCCAGGATTTCTCTATTCTTTCTAAGTTTTCAAATTCATTGGCATTAACCAACCTACATAAAAAATTTAGATCCCCAAAATAACCCAACTTAATATTGAATCTCAAGGAATTTGAAAAATAACAACAAACTAAACCCAAAGTTAACTAAAGGAAAGAAATAATAAAGATCCAAGCAGTAATAAATGAAATATAGACTGAAAAAAGAATGCGAAAGGTTCATGAAACAAAAAGTTGGTTTCTTGAAAAGATAAAATTGACAAACCTTTAGATTAGATGAAGAAAAAAAGAGAAGATTCAAATAAAATCAGAAATGAAAAAGGCGACATAACTGATACCACAGAAATACAGAGGATCTCATAAACATGTGAGGATATCAATAAAGCACAGACTTTGATCCAGCAGGTTTGGGGTGAGGTCCATGATTCTGAATCCCACAGGCCCCTGGGTGAGGCTGAAGCTACTGGTCTGCAGACTACACTTCCCCAGCAGGGTCTTGGGTATCAGGGAACTCTGATATCTAGAGAAAATAACTCTGATATCTAGAGAAGATAGAGTACAGCATTTGCTGAAAGACAAGAGTGCATCATGGCTGCAAAATCAGATATGAAGATATACACTGTGCCATCAACTTGGAAAGCAAAATTGTGATTGAATGGGCTTCCCAGGGTCTCCCCTTTCTTCTTGATTTGGTAAATATATCTCTTCATTATAGCAGCACCACTCATCAGATTCTCTAGACTCCCACTTACAGATCATCACTCATGCCTTCCTCTGCCATCCTTGCTAGTTTTTTTTTTTTTAATTGGTTTAGCAATTATGAATCAAGATGGGCTGGAAGTGGTGGCTCACACCTGTAATCTGAGCACTTTAGGAGGCTGAGGCAGGAGGATTGCTTGAAGCCAGGACTTTGAGACCAGCCTGGGCAGCATAGAGAGACCGCATTTCTGAGTGTAGTGGTGTGTACCTGTAGTCCTAGCTATTCAGGAGGCTGAGGCAGGAGGATTGCTTGAGCTCAGTAGGTCAAGGCTACAGTGAGCCACAATAGTGCTATTGCACTCCAACCTAAGGGACAGAATGAAACCTAATCTAAAAAAAAAAAAAAAGAAAAAAGAAAAAAAAGAGAGAGAGAAAAGAAATCAAGTGTGAACCACTTCTTGAGAATGAGTAGAGGTGTTTTTATATTCATCACTCTATCCAGTGGTGAGCATGGCATCTGCCAGGCTATAAATGCAAATGTAGCAGGATGTCCACGGCTCAGCCCTTCAAGCACAAACATCAGGACTGACAGCCCAGTGGTTGTGAGCCCTGCCTCTGAAAGTAGAAAACTCTGGGTGCCCATGCTAGCTTTCCTACTTACTATCTTAGCTTCAGTTTTCTCCTTTGTAAATGGGGATGATAATAATAGCAACTTGTCAGGCCAGGTGCGGTAGCTCATGCCTGTAGTCCCAGCACTTTGGGAGGCCAGCAGTTCAAAACCAGCCTGGGCCACGTAGACCCCATTTCTATAAGAAATATGAAAATTATCCGGCCATGGTGGCACGTGCCTGTAGTCTCAGTTACTCAGGAGGCTGAGCTGGGAGGATCACTTGAGCCTGGCAGGTCAAGGCTGCAGTGGGCCATCTTTGCACCACTGCTCTCCAGCCTGGGTTTTAAAGTGAGACCCTGTCTCAATAATAATAGCAACTTGTTGTAATGATGCAGATAAAAATGAGGCAATATGTGTGAAGCTTTTAACTCCTGTGCCCACATACAGGAATTAGTCAGGAAATAGCTGTTGAAAACCAACCCTTGGCACAGGGAGGCATGGAATCATGACTGTTTGCTTTGTGTTTGGCTTTTTAGTCAGGTTTAATAAGGACACGAAAAAATGAATTCCTCATCTCGCCGTTACCTCAGCTCCTGGCCCAGGAACACAACTACAGCTCCCCTGCGGGTCACCATCCTCACGTACTGTACAAAAGGACAGCAGAGGAGAAGGTCCAGCGGTACCGTGGCTACCCCAGCTCCGGCCGGAATTATCCTGGTTACTCCCCAAGTCACATTCCCCATGCATCTCAGAGTCAAGAGACAGAGTATCACCATCGAAGGTTGCAAAAGCAGCATTTTTGTGGACGACGCAAGAAATGTATGTAAGGAAACTTTTTCTTGTTCTGTTCTTATGTGGGCCTCGACGGGTTTTCCTGAGAGCTGTTGGGTGTACAAGATTTGCAAGTCAAAATGGGGCTACCCTGAGCATCTGTCTTGGTGTAGGACCAGTAATGATCTCTCTCAGGCAAATGCTGAATGATCAATTAATCTAGATTAAACTAGGAAATATTTAGATATGGTTTCTCTTTTACTCTTTTAGTATCTCCTACTTTCATGCCATAGATCCCAATCTTATCTTGATTTCTGTGCTTCTAAGAAAAGTATCTAGATTTCCAATGACAAAAGAAATGAGAGGTAAATGTCTAGGTGTGGTTGGATGTCTCTTTTGAAGATGTAAAGGAGAGACTTCCAGAAACAAGAATATTAGCATGTGAGGGAGGTAGCTGTGAAACACAGGTATCCTTGAGCATGGTTTGTGACCTTGGTACAACCTTCAGCTATTTCCAGACCAGCGATGTCCAATAGAAATGTAACACAAGCCCTAAATACAATTTTACATTTTCTAATAGCCACAAGTTTTAAAAGTTTAAAAAAAGGGTAAATGAATTTTAATACCATTTTATTTAATGCAACATATACAAAATATTATCTCAACATGTAATCAGTATAACAAATGATTAGTGAGAGATTTACATTATTTTTTCCTAATAAGTTTTGGAAATCCAGTGTTTATTTTAAATGTACAGCACTTAAACCTGTCAATTCAGATGATAAATTTTTACTGGAAATACTTAATCTTCATTTAACTTGCATAAAATTAAGGTCAAAAAAGTAGATTTGCATACTCAAGTTGTTTGGGACATACTTAAAACATTTTCTTTTTTCTTGTTTTGCTTGTTTTTTTTTTTTTTTTTTGAGACAGTTTCACTCTTTCGCCCAGGCTGGAGTGAAGTGGCGCAATCTCAGCTCACCGCAACCTCCATCCCCCAGGTTCAAGCAATTCTCCTGCCTCAGCCTCCCCACTAACTGGGATTATAGGCACATGCCACCATAGCCAGCTAATTTTTGTGTTTTAAGTAGAGACAGGGTTTCTCCATGTTGGCTAGGCTGGTCTCAAACTCCTGACCTCAGGTGATCCACCCGCCTCAGCCTCCCGAAATGTTAGCATTACAGACATGAGCCACTGAGCCTAGCCAAAAGACTTTTAATACCTGAATCAAGTATTGCTTTTTAAACTTTTAAATTCTTCTGTGGCTCAATAGCTACACGTGGAAAGTGTGTACCAAGTTGTATAGCACAGCCGGAAAAAGGTTATTCTCATGGAGAAGAGGAACTGGTATCACTAAGATATTAATCAGGCGGAATAATGAAAGAGTTTCTACCATTTTAACTGGTTTTTGAGTTTTTGGTATTATTGAAATATCCTCATTAACGGGCATGTATACAGTAATGATTTAACCTGTACTAATGATAGTAATAATGTTTATAGTGGTAAGACATGTTTGATATGAGACATCAAAGCAAATCTTTACAGCAACCTTATAAACAGGTGTCACCTGTTTTCATAGATAAGGAAACTGAGACTCAAGGTCACTGTGATTGTAAGTGGCCAACCTGAGTTTTTAAATTTAACTCTAAATAATTTGATCTTTGAATTTTACTCTGTAGAGAGCTAGTTTCACTGTTATGGCTGGACCGGTGTTATAGTACTAAAATATTTCCATACTAGTTAGTACACAGGTACTTCCCTGAACTTTCCAGATGCCATTTTTCTTCCCAGGAATGCGCGTGGTTGTTGCTATCCATTAACTAAAGGCATCATGTCTGGCCCAGTAGGCACTTCTAGGTCTCTGCTCAATGGCTATGGCCAGTATCCATTCTGTTAACTTGGTGTCCACACTTTACCAGTTATGAAAAGTGTTTAATACAGTTTTTAATATCACCCCCGACTATGCTGTTTCCCCGATAACTAAGCCAATATCACATCAAAGAGTTCTTACTGACCACTTCTTATGTGCTATGTGAAAGTCTGTGTCGATGAAATGAGAGTTTCAGACATGACCAGTATTTTAGAGCTGTTTACATTTTATTTAGAAAATGATGTATAAAGTTTTAGAGCTGTTTACATTTTGTTTAGAAAATAATGTATGAAGTGGTATATTTAATGAATTCATAAATAATAAATTTAGAGCCAAAGGATTAACACTATTTCTGCAGTTTTTGAGTAGAAAAATGAGCATTTTCTACTTTCAAAGTTTCTCCCCACAAAATTGATTTTTGTTGATCTGTTCTACTAACTAGAATTATAGCTTGTTTTAGTTGTTGTTGTTTGAGATGAAGTCTCACTCTGTCATCCAGAGACTGTATCTCAAAGGTAAATGCATAGGTGTGGTTGGGTGTTTCTTTTGATGACATAAACGAGAGACTTCCTTATGGAGTGCAGTGGCGTGATCTTGGCTCACTGAGACCTCTACCTCCTGGGTTCAAGTGATCCTCCTGCCTCAGCCTCCCAAGTAGCTAGGATTACATGCATGCACCACCATGCCTGGCTAATTTTTGTAATTTTAGTAAAGACAGGGTTTCACCATGTTGGCCAGGCTGGTCTCAAACTCCTGACCTCAAGTGATCTACCCATCTTTGCCTCTGAAATTGCTGGGATTACGGGCGTGAGCCACCACGCCTGGCTTAGAGCTCTTTTCTTTTCTTTTCTCTTTTCTTTTCTTTTCCTTTCTTTTCTTTTCCTTTCTTTTCTTTTCTTTTTCTTTCTTTTTTTTTTTAACTTTTTAGAGCATTTTTGAGTTACTGAATTTATCCATTATCCATTTATTTCTCTCCACCTACCCATGTATCCATCCAACATCCATCCATGCACTCATCTACCCATCTATCCATGCACACATCCATCCATCCATCCTGTCCAGCCCATCCATCTACCCATCCGTGCATCCAAACATTTATTGAGTAGGTCTTTCTTGACTAGATGCAAGGCACCCGGGCAGGCACTGGCAGCATCACTTGTTAGTGGATTGGTGGAGTGTTGATTACATAGTTTCTCTTCTTCCCTTGTTTCAGTTTCTCTTTCAACAGGTCTTATCTAGATATTCTCTAATATCCCTTCCAAATGCTCTTATATTCATCATAGATGCTCCCAAGCCTCCCACAGAGGACACCTATCTAAGGTTTGATGAATATGGGAGCTCTGGGCGACCCAGGAGATCAGCTGGAAAATCACAAAAGGGCCTAAATGTGGAAACCCTTGTGGTGGCAGACAAGAAAATGGTGGAAAAGCATGGCAAGGGAAATGTCACCACATACATTCTCACAGTAATGAACATGGTAAGGTGGGGTGTCATGAACCTTCTGGCTCTTTAAAGAAGATAAAAGTCATAGAATTCTCTTGCATGGGTTGAATAGCATATATATTAGGTTGGTGCATATGTAATTGCAGGTTCTGCCATTACTTTTAATAGCTACACATGTGGTTTTATTTTTTTAAGTTGAGTTTTGAGGAAATTGTCTTTATATGTACATATATTGGTCAAAATTGAAGCCTGTGTACTTCAGTCAGTATGTCTGATTGATTCCCCCATAAGGTTTTGAACATTTTGAGATTTTGTTTGACTTCCATTGTTCCAACAGGTTTCTGGCCTATTTAAAGATGGCACTATTGGAAGTGACATAAATGTGGTTGTGGTGAGCCTAATTCTTCTGGAACAAGAACCTGTAAGTGGCAAACTTCATTTATGTCTTCATTCAGTCTGCCATTCAGAATACATTTCTTGAATACCTACTATGTTCACTAATCCATGTACTAGTTATTAGCTCCTTAAATTTGAAACTAGGCTGAGTCTCCTCAAGGTACAATCTTAAAAGATTGTGTAATCACATAATTAAACTAAAGCACCAGAAAAATATTTATACTTAAATGTATTTATATTATATGTGCATATATATACATAAATAATGGTACATAAAGTATTAAATATATAAATATATAATATAAATAAAAATATGAAACATAAATATGTTACATAAAAATATAAATGTTATGTAGGCTTCACAAAGAAGGTGAATTTGGTCATAGATTTAAGCATTAGCTAGATTTTGCAAGTTTGGTATGCTGAGTAATTGCTGGTAGATGCAGAAGGATATTTCAAAAAATATACTGAAAATAAGGCATCAGAAAATTATTGTAGTAAACCTACTGTCTCCCCAGTACCATCTTAGGTAATACAGGGAATAAACAAGGGATATTTAGCTGCCCTTGAATTGATCACAGTGAGATGCAAGACACAAACATGGGGCAAATTTTGAAAACCGGAACATGTAATAAAGTGTTAAATTACATGGTACTCACTGCTTTGTAGTGTTTTGATGTTTAAACTCTGTTTCTCTGAGATAGTGATTACCATTCAAATGGGTATTTTTTTAAGTCCCCCGAGGCTCTTCCTCTTCTTCTGTAACCCCAATAAAAAACATAAAAAGCAGGAAGACACAGACAAGACAAAAATTGATCTAATTGCCCAGCTGTGGAGGGCTACAGAAGTTAACAGCTTGTCAAATTGTTTTTGGAATTTTAGAAAGATAGGAAGGATGCGTGCTGATCAGGAGACACTTTTGTCTTTAGCCTACTAATAGGTTGCCCAAGGACACTGAAGCCAGCCACATCCTAATTAACTGATAATTAAAGATCTTGTCTGTCAACTTTCAACTTGGCCAAGTCAGTAGTTTCAACTAAGCAAACATTTGACAGATGATTATTTTAAGGGTAGGTCCTCTCTTATCCTTTGGAATCATATCATCATTTGTTTATTCATTCTGTGAATTTTCATTATACTGATTTTCATTATATTGATTCATTGACTATAACCTATGATGTGCCAGACGCTTTGCTGAGAATTTTGACATCTATGGAAATAATGATAAGGCTTTATGGAAAAGCCATTGAACTTCATCACCATTAATTTATTATCCTGTTTTAAAAGTTGTAACGGTTTTATAAAGGTAGTACCAGATGAGATGAACAAAGGTGTTCTAAGTGATGCCAGGTTATTTTTTGTAGAACTATAATCAATCATAAACCACACTAGAGAAACTTTGTAGTTGCTTTAAATATTGTGAGCATTTACCTAAAATAGATATTTTCCCGTCTCCTACCTTAGGTCAAGTGTTTTCCTCTAGTGATCTTTTCCCCTAGAAATAAGTTTCTGTGTTTGCCTGTACAAATGGAATGATTCAGCATTCTCATCTCTGTGACAAATTCACACTTTGATTTGTGTGGGTTTCCCATAGGGAGGATTATTGATCAACCATCATGCAGACCAGTCTCTGAATAGCTTTTGTCAATGGCAGTCTGCCCTCATTGGAAAGAATGGCAAGAGACATGATCATGCCATCTTACTCACGGGATTTGATATTTGTTCTTGGAAGAATGAACCATGTGACACTCTAGGTATGGTATGAACAGATCCTTCACACACACCTGTTAGCTGAAAACACAGTATGCAAACTTTCTATGGATGATGGATAGCCCTTATGTTCCTTAATAAAAAGACATAATATTTAAATTGTGGAGTAACCTCCCATGCCCTCTGGAGACTATTGTTCTTTTTAACTGAACTTAGAATGTGGGGAGCCCACTTACCTTATTCATTTTGTATTTTTTTTTTAATTTGAGTTGAAGTTTCACTCTTGTTGCCCAGGTTGGAGTATAATGGCACAATCTTGTTCTACAGCAACCTCCGCCTCCTGGGTTCAAGCAATTCTCCTGCCTCAGCCTCCCAACTAGCTGGGATTACAGGCACCCGCCACCATGCCTGGCTAATTTTTGTATTTTTAGTAGAGACGGGGTTTCACCTTGTTGGCCAGGCTGCTCTCGAACTCCTGATCTCAGGTGATCTGCCTGCCTTGGTCTCCCAAAGTCCTGGGATTACAGGCATAAGCCACCTCACCTGGCTTGTATTTTTCTTGATTGATCCTACTGATGATCACTGAGGTGTGAGATACATTATTTAACTAGAAACGTGTAGGTTATTCCATAAGCATCATGACCACAGAATCAGGTAGCTGAAGAAGATTTTACTGGGTTCCATGGTACCTAACTGTGCCACTAGGTAGCAGTGCCTCTTTTAGAAAGTTACTTGACTTTGAAGTGCTCAATTCTTCCATATTAGTTTGTACAGGACAGTGATAGCAAGAATTGCATCTTTTATATCTATACTATATTCCAGTGTATTCCATTGCACATAATAGGAATTCAACATTTTTTAAAAGTTGATGAATGATTGTCCAAATCAGGGGTCAGCAAACTCTGTGAAGGGCCTGATAGTCAGTATGTTAGGCTATGCAGGCCACAGGTCTCTGTGGCAGCTAGCCATTTCAGCTGTATTGTTTCAAAAGCAGTCACAAGTAATATGTAAAAAATGAATGCAGATGTGTTTTAATAAAACTTTATTTACAAAAACAGAACACAGGAGCCATAGTTTGCTGATATAACTAATAGTCCAGATGAATGGTAGAATTTTGTGGAGCTGAGAAAAGCTTATGTGATGTACTTCTCTCACACTTTTCCTCGAAGTACTTTATAATCCCTTATGATACATTAAAGATAATAGTATGTTGGACTTTATAAGACATTTTATTTATTTTTTAATTTTTTGAGATGGTGTCTTGTTCTTGTCACTCAGGCGGGAATGCAGTGGTGCGATCTTGGCTCACTGCAACCTCTGCCTCCTGCATCCAAGTGATTCTCCTGCCTCAGCTTCCAGAGTAGCTGGAATTACTGGCACCCGCCACCACGCCCGGCTAATTTTTGTATTTTTAGTAGAGACAGGTTTCACTGTGTTGGCCAGGCTGGTCTCGAACTCCTGACCTCAAGTGACCCACCCGCCTCAGCCTCCCAGAGTGCTGGGATTACAGGCATGAGCCACCATGCCAGGGCAGAAATTTTATTTTTTATGTTTCTCAAATTCTCTGTAGTTTCTCTGTTATGTCCTATAAATAAGTTTATTTTAACAATTAGCCATTAATCACAGTCTTCAAAAACACAACTATTTTGGAAATTGTTCCAGAGAAAGGGTTTTTATAATGAAAAACGATATACATCCATTCATATTCTGGATTTGGAATGTGCAAAGTGACATATGATAATCCAATGCATTGTTGATGTTTTGAAGATTCTGAGAAGCAGACAGTGTTATCTGTTATCCAGAGACCAAAATGTAAGAAAAGGCTTGGAAAAAACAAAACGCCAGAAATTCCACCACTTGTCGAAAAGGTCACTTACTTTAAGCAGTATGTCCTAATGCAAAGTGCATGGGCTTTGACTTCCCCTATGTCTGTGGTTGATTCCTGAGTCTGGTATTTATGACTCTGAGATCCTGAACAAGTTAATTCACCTCTCTGAGGTTTGGTTTTCTAAGTTATAAATACATACACACAGATATATAATAGACATATTGCAGAGTGTGTGAATTTGGCAACCATTTATTTAGTGACGATGATGATGGCAGTAATGATAATGATGCTACCCCTTATTTGTGCCTTTATATTAGATTTCCCAGCTGATCTCCCTTCTATCTTGACAGTGAAGTGAGTACAATCAGTTCACAAGCATGCATTTAATATTAGATGGGTACATAGATTTGTTCTAGTGATTATTAGGACCAAAACTGGAATGAAAGATGTTCTCACACACTGCACTGTATTTCAAGATAGACTTAAGAGCTGGCTGGGACACTTTTATAATGGCTCTTAGAGGAGGTAACTTTGGGAACAGAAGCACTTACCACATTATAAAGAACCAGAGAAAAATTAATTTAATCTGCATGCATTACTTAGGCATTTTCGTGTTTTCTGCTCTAGAAAAAGACCAGGATGCGTGTTTTTTCCTGGAAAATATACCCTGAGCTGTGACGTGAATGCCACTGTTCAGTGAGCATTTTGCATTGGTTTTGCTATCATTCTATCCGTTGCTCTGACCCAAATGATAAACTCAGACAAGGCATATAAATATTCTGTGACTTACTGTACTAAAAGTTAAATGGGAATTACAGTACTCATACTGACCTTACAGGGCTGTTACGAGGATCAATTGATAACAGTATGTAACAAAAGCAAGAAAATAGGAAATGCTGCATTTATATATTATCATTACACAGGACAAAGAACTGTAGATCATTAGTAATTTTTTTTTTTTTTTTTTGCAAAAACATTGAATGCATTGATTAAAACTATGTAGGACATTTCGAGGATATAAATTATCACGTATCTGTGTGTGCAACCTTTGGATTCACATTTGAAACTGATCTTTCAATAGGGTTTGCCCCCATCAGTGGAATGTGCTCTAAGTACCGAAGTTGTACCATCAATGAGGACACAGGACTTGGCCTTGCCTTCACCATCGCTCATGAGTCGGGGCACAAGTAAGTGGCTCTTTGACCCACTACTTTATATGAAAACTAGTTGGATGATTCATTGGCGTTTTAACCGTTGTTGACTTAGGCAGAACAAAGAGGATCAGTCTTGTGTAAAGCTTAGAATAGTTTCTGGCCATACAAAGGGCTCACTAAAGGCTAGTTATTGTTGATTTCATTCTTTTTAAACAACAGCATTTAATGGCCACACAGTACTCCTTCGTGTGCACGGATTGCAAGTTATTTAACTGAGTCTCTAGGCTGTTAGGCATTTGTTTATTTTTGTTCATGTTTTGCAGCAATGGAGACACTTCTAGCTGATTCTTTATGCACAGGAAGTAATCATGGAGAAAAATTAATTCCCAGAGTAAAATGGCACACAACTTTTTAAAAAAACTTTTGCTGCATGTACTGAATATTCTTTTAATTGGTAACATTGCATGTACTTAATATTCTTTTAATTGGTGTTAGTAAATCTTCCTTTTATGATGGAGACAACGCTATAGAGAATTTTCAAACATTTGAGCAACAGCAACTGCATTGGAGCAAGTATACTACTTTACAAAATAATGATTTCAATGTGTAGTACTCTTCAGGTATACCCGTTTAGGAACGTTTGTGTGTGCATGTGTGTATATTTTATTCAACATACAGGAAATAACTCATATATTTTTAAAGCATCTAGTTAATTTTTGACTTAAAAAGCAAATATTCAGTAACCATAGTTGATATTTTTATATGTTGGTGCTGGTATCTTTTCTCTTCTTTCTTTCTTTTTTTTTTTTTTTTTTTGAGACAGAGTCTCGGTCTGTCTTCTCGGCTGGAGTGCAGTGGTGTGATCTCGGCTCGCTGCAACCTCCGCCTCCCGGGTTCAAGTGATTCTCCTGCCTGTGCCTCCTGAGTAGCTGGGATTACCAGTGCCCACCACCAGGCCTGGCTAATTTTTATAGTTTTAGTAGACATGAGGTTTCACCGTGTTGGCCAGGCTGCCTTCAGGTGATCTGCCTGCCTCGGTCTCCCAAAGTACTGAGATTACAGGTGTGAACCACCAGGCCCGGCCAGTGCCGGTATCTTCTATGAGCTACACTTATTATCTCTAGGAAACTTAAATCTTGACAATTGTTGTTACTGTTATCCAACAAATTTCCAATGTTACTATACACACACACGCACACACACTTAGACACCCACACACACTTAGATATGAGTAAGCCAATTTTTAAAATTGTAAATGGAGAAGCAAAAATGCTCAGTAAGAATGATGTTTCTCATGCAAAGCAGGAAATAAAATATATATACATATCAAATGTATGTCTAAGTTTGTTTTACCAGCATGAAGTCCAAATGAACTGGTCTCACTTTTCAAAATACTGGTCATTGAAAAATTTAATTTTCTTTGCGTATGCGTTAAAATTATCCAAAATCAAAATTCAACATTTTAGATAAGGAAAAGCAGAAAATATGCTTCAGGTAGGATGCGGGAGAGAAGTCAGAGGTTGGAGAAAGGACAGATGTAAAATAAAATACATACTTAAGTTCTAAATAATATGGCCTTATGAAGTTTTGAAATAGACAATTCCTAAGATATTTATATGGCATTTGGCACGTGCTAAAGAAAATACGTTATCATCTTCTAAAATGCTATTAAAGTAAATTTAGGAATGTTAAGTTCAGAATTAAATTCCAACTTGGTTTTCTTATGCACATAAAATTCCACTGAAGTTCTAAGTAAGTTCTTTTCCTCTAGCGTAATGGCTTCAATCTCTCCTACCCCATCTCTGTTTCTGGGATTCTTGTTCTTTTTTCTTGTGCTTTATTTATAGATTTCTTTCTGCTTTTTACTTCGGGTGCTTTATTTATAGGTTCCTTTCTGTTTCTGACTTTCACAAATATATTTAGAAAGGGTGTCTCCCAAACAAATCCCCTTAAGATCTTGGTTAGGTGAGAAGAAGAATTAAATTGGGAAAAGCTGATGATAAGAAAATGCTTTCAGTGAGTATATGTTGAGGTTATTAAATACCTATTTTTGAGTGGTCACCTCTGAATACCTACGGAAGTCACTGATAGGATCATAGCATACGGCTGCCCTGCTACTACTTTCCTGACAAACTGGAAGGAATGCTGGAAAAATGGCCATGTTATAGACATGGGTCACAAAAAGTCATATCTTTTATTGTAACATATTTATTTGGTATAGATGACTTTCAAAGGCTAACTCTATAAATGAAATTATATCAGAATAACATTTTTATTTACATAGGAATCATATCTGCCTTATAAATATATGGTCTAAGAAACAAGTTTTATTCTTTTAAGTAATGAGATTAAGAACAATTTAAATTAATGATGAAATTCATATTTATATCCCTCCATCCTCTGCATTCCTAAAAAAAAAAAAAGAACCGGAAAAGACTTTTCTCTGCACCGAATTTTTTTAGAGCAGATCGAAGACTCTTATTTCTCCATCTTCTACCACTTTAATATAGCCTGAAGTAAGCTCTGTCTTTATAGTATGTATCCTATGTGGGTATGCACATTGATGTAACATTTATTCTACCTGTCAGGATATTGGAGAATTCTTTAGGTATAATATGCATGATTCCTATTGAGTAGACCACCTAAAATTTTTATTCTATAATTACTAGACCCTTCTGTGATGAAATGGAACAAATTAAAGTTTTCTCATATAATACATCTGAAAGATAACAGTAACGGTCAAGATTTAATAGCCTTCAATAAAGGGGTTCAAGCATTTTAAAAAATGTTTATTATAAGAGACTTTAATTATAATCAGAGTTTGATTTCAGCTAATGAATTGATCATAGTTGGAGAGAAGTTTTTATACCACACTAGGCTTATGTATGAACAGTTCATAAACAGCTTAGAATCAGCATCTCTCTACACCTCCTTCCTACTCACTCTGAACTTCTTTACCATAGTTCCATGTTTGGTGACAAGAAAAGAATTTTACTGTTTGAAATAACATAATTTGGCTGGTCCATCACTTTGGCTTAGCTTATACCTAAATTTAACTTGGCCAACATTTTCCAGCCCATACAACATGTAGCAGCTAGACCATTCTTTGATTATATGGTCAGGAAATAGTATAACAAAGCCCTCAGCACTTTTTAAATTTTCTGCGTGAGTTTTATAACATTCTGTAGTAATTTGTCTTTCTCTGTTCCAGTTTTAATAACTCTGTCTCTCAGTTGGTTTTGTTGATGATCACGGCATCTTTTTTCTTCCTCAGATTATCCTTCAGGAAAATGGGTTCACAAAGCAGGATTTTGTTTTCTTCATTCTGTTTCAGCTTTGGCATGATTCACGATGGAGAAGGCAATCCCTGCAGAAAGGCTGAAGGCAATATCATGTCTCCGACACTGACCGGAAACAATGGCGTGTTTTCATGGTCTTCCTGCAGCCGACAGTATCTCAAGAAATTCCTCAGGTATGACAGGTTAAATCCAGGGGTGCTCCTAGGTTTGGAGTGGTGACAGAATTGTGCTCCATAGACGTGAAAACAAATCCTTAGTGGAATTACCTTTTGATCTCTCAATAAACAGAAAGACAAATGATGATGATGATGATGATGATGATGATGATGATGACATTATTGTTAAAAAAATAGATTGAATCCTAATATTGTGCTAAATGTTCTCCACATATTTCCTCTTTCAATCCTCACAGCAATACTGTTATCCTCAATCTAGAGTTGAGAAATCAAGTCTTAGAGAGGTTAATTGTGTGGTTTAAGGTACTATCGCTGGTAAGTTGCAGACAGAAGACTCACACTTAGATCTGTTGTGACTCTAGGATGTGTACTCAACCGTCTCTTCCCTGTGACTTCCAGAGGCTGCTAGGTATATTGTCTTTTTACTGTGACTAATTATTTCAATCTTATCAATCAATGTGTCATAGAGCATTTTTAAAATGCTCACATGGTATGAGTGTGTGTTTGTGTTTTAATGAATAGAGCATTTTCTTGTTTGACTATTGTGTCTGAAATGGCCAGGAGCTAGCTTTATGTCCAAGTGATAGCCAAGCAGGATGGTAGCTGTATAAAATGCTTTTAATAACACAGAACCCTTAAGTTGCATTAGTAAAAGTAGGAGTTAGGAAATTTGCACTATTCATATTAAACAATGAACCCAAATTTGAAATACACACACACACACACACACACACACACACACATATACACATACCTACCTTTTTAATCTATGTTGACCCACTAGGACACTTAGATGCTATTCCCATATCTCTTTGACCAGATGTTAGTGAAATTTCTTTGGGAATTGACATTCTTGATACTTTATTTTTAACCCATACCACTGTATATTATTTGCAGATGTTTAAAGAATTAGTAAGATATATACACAAAGCATATTAAGCTTAAAGATACCTAACCAAATATGCCCAAAGGGTAGTAAAAAAATCAAGAGACTTTTTGCTAGTGAGCTTTGCCATGAAGATTTTCCTGTGAGTTTTAAATTCATGATTTGGTGACTAGAATTATTTTTTCCAACTCATGTAAGAATGCGATTAATAAGTATTGATATTAAGATCTACTTAACATAGATTGAATTTCCATTAGTATGTAGTTAAATGCTTTTGTAGTTAAATGTTATAATAATGATAACAGCAGCAGCTAACTTTGCTTACTATGCTTTATTAAACATGTTATATTTTCTTGTTTGAACTGTGTAACAACCTTTATGAGAGTCATTGTCACTCATGCGCTGTATAAGAGCTACATAACTCGGTCTTGGTTGCATGGTTGATTAGGACCCCCATCTATCTCACTACAAAATTACACTTAACCACCATACTAATTAACCTCTCAATGGTACCTATTTTAATTATTTAAGTAAGTGGAGATAAGGTGCTAAGAATATCCATGCCATCAGGACTGATTTTTGCTCTCAACAGGTTCCATCAGACATACCTAAAGGAAATTTTTCTGCCTCATGCCCCAGTTCATTATTCCTCTTGATTCTTTACGAATGTTATTTATTTTTGTCTGTAAGGCTTATTGTGAGTTAAAGTACATCTTTGACCTCTGCTCCATTATCTGTTAAAACAAAAATACTTGATTTAAAACTCCATGAAGACAGGTACTGTGTCTGTCTGGTTTGTTTTGTACCATTAGTGCTCTGTCTAAGGTTTGCCACAGAGCAGGGACTCAGTACAAATTGTCAGATATTGTTGAATGAGATTGTTGATGGGAGTTTTCAAATATATTAACCTTCCCCGTCTCCCGTCGGATCCCAAGCCAAATCACTTGGATGGCTAGAATTTTCAGCATCCTGTAAAACCCTGCCTGGCTGTGTACATTCCATCCTCTTAGACAGGACTCACTCTTTGGCATAAACATGGATTTGAACTTTAAACATATACCTGTTTCTCAAACCATGTTATATTTTTCTTTGCGTGAATGCATTCAGAAGTGTGTTGTCGTAAATGGAAAGATCACAGATCAACAGAGTAATTAATAAGCATGTATTGTCATTACAGCACACCTCAGGCCGGGTGTCTAGTGGATGAGCCCAAGCAAGCAGGACAGTATAAATATCCGGACAAACTACCAGGACAGATTTATGATGCTGACACACAGTGTAAATGGCAATTTGGAGCAAAAGCCAAGTTATGCAGCCTTGGTTTTGTGAAGGTATGTTTGCTTGTGATTTCAAACTTACATTAAGACTCTGCAATGTGTCTGTGTCCCTAACAGAAGTGTAAACATTTGGTTTGCCAAGGCCAAGGGTTAGGGTCTGGGTTATCTCTACTATGTCAGTTGTTTGGCATGATAATTAAGTGGCAATTTTACTGTCAATGAATTATCCAGGCCTATCCACATAGACCATGCCTGCTTTAAATACCACTTGGTAGAAAATTATTTCTCTTTAAATGAAGACTCTATCCCTACTAGAAAACCTGGGAACACGAGTTTGTACCTACTGCTGATCACTGCTTCTCTTCTCTATATGATCCTATTCCCTCTTAATTTAATACATTTCAAATCATCACCATCCCAAAATACATTATATGCCCTTTATAATATAGGAAAACTATTATTAGCAGCTAGCTTTTTTAATTTTATATAAATTCAAGGTATATCTTGAGTAACATTAGTAAGATTATTGTGTCAAGTCTTCAAAGAATTATAAATTATAAAAAAGATAATTGGGAAAGTACAAAAGTCCAGGTTATAGAAATGAGAGACACCTTGTTCCGCTTGGTCAAGAATGACATTTTACTGACAGTAGTATTACAGTCTCAACTTTACTAAAAAATAGAATCATTTTTAAGTTGGTTTATTCCCAATATCCAAAGAGAAATATGGAAGTTCTAAGTAACTGAAAAATGCATGGAAATTATGGAGGTTTATAGCTCCTCTTTCCCCCTCTATTCCTGTTCCTCTTCTTCCTCCTCTTTCTCTCCCTATTCCTCCTTCTCTACCACCACCACCACCACCAACACCACCACCACCACCAACACCACCACCATCACCATCACCATCACCATCACCATCACCATCACCATCATCATCTACTATCATCTCCAGTAGTTGCTAAGTGAGCCTGTGCCCCACATAAGGCATTCTACTTAAAGATTTATTTTACGTTACCTCAATCTTCACAAAAACCCTTCAAGTGAGAATTATATTGGGCCGGGCACGGTGGCTCACGTCTGTAATCCCAGCACTTTGGGAGGCCGAGACGGGTGGATCACGAGGTCAGGAGATCGAGACCATCCTGGCTAACACGGTGAAACCCCGTCTGCACTAAAAACACAAAAAATTAGCCAGGCGTGGTGGTGGGCGCCTGTAGTCCCAGCTACACGGGAGGCTGAGGCAGGAGAATGGCATGAACCCGGGAGGCAGAGCTTGTAGTGAGCCGAGATCGCGCCACTGCACTCCAGCCTGGGTGACAGAGCGAGTCTCCGTCTCAAAAAAAAAAAAAAAAAAAAAAGAATTATTACCACTTTTGACCTGGAGCTCAGAAAGTACATTTAACTTGCCCAAAGCCACAAACTTTTAAATGATAGAATTTAACAAAACAAGTCACACACGTTGACATGAAATTTCCTCCTTTTCATCGGTGACTGGTACCAGTCACTATTACCCGTGTTTCCTAAACTTCAGTCATTAATATTCAGTCATTAATAACTACCTTCTTTAGTTGTGTTATCTCTATATTATTATTCACTTATTGCTTTTCTAGAAACCAATTCACATTCAAAATATAACTTCAGTCCTAAGAAATAATATGCATCAAATCATAGGTTTGATATGGGATTACATATTGTTTCTAATACAGTTTCAGTGCATAACTATTAAAATATTTTCCAGATGTCATTCACATTTTTTTGGTGTATCCTTCATGACACATGGACCTTACTTTCACGAATGGTGGTGAACCATATGTAAAAACTAACAAGTTGCCTGGGTGTAGTGGCTTATATCTGTAATCCCAAGATTTGGGGAGGCCAAGGTGGGAGGATCACTTGAGGCCAGGAGTTTGAGAATAACCTGGGAAACAAAGTGAGACCCCTTCTTTACAAAAAATTTAAAAGTTAGCTGGGCTAGGGGCATGTACCTGTAGTTCCAACTACTATGGAGGCTGAGGCAGAGGGATCACTTGAGCCGAGGACTTCGAGGCTGAAGTGAAGGATGATAGCACTACTGTACTCCAGCCTGGGGAACAGACGGAGACCCTATCTCTAAGAAAAAAAAACTAACAGACTGTTCTATTTGCCTGTTAAGTTGATGGTTTTGGCAGAAGTAAGTAGCCATTTACTTTGTTGAAAAAGTTTGTATCCTGATTTGCCTCTTGTTCACTTTATTCTAAAGGATTCATTATCTTATTAATTACAAATTTATTACATGCTATGCAGCAAAAGCACAGTTGGTAATAAGTATGATTTTCTTTAGAAATACAAAGGAGGTTCCTAAAATTACTATTGTTCCTTCAGAAGTATGTATTTGTGGGGTACCTGGTCTGTGTCAGGCAGTGTGTGGGGCTTAAACAACCTTTTTAAATAATAGATTGTTTTCTGGGATCTCACTATATTTTTAAAAGACAGCTTCTCATTCTGATGGTCTTTCATGGGAAACAGAGCAAACAGAAATGAAAATTTCCAAGTAAAAGATTGAATCAAACAAGGAAAGGGAAGGTGAGAAAGACTTGCTTAAGAGAGAAATGATTGAAGATGGTGGTGAGGTTAATGGAGAAGGTAGGGTTGTTTGATAGATTCTAAATGTAGATTGTTTTCCCCACACCTTAGCTTTTGGTATTGTTGTTAAACCTACTTATAACTTGAACCCATGGCCACACCTATGAGGATCATAAATATTGCCAGGCTCTAGCCAAGAGGAATTTCCAAAACAACAAAATTTCTTATTCATCCTGTCTATTAGAAACAGTTTAGACCCTCTCTGGCAACGCAGGAAAGAGGTGAAGTTTGTCTTCAGGGCTTTTATTGTCCCATTATTACTTTCTAATCTTTTCTCCTCACTTTACTTTTTTTTTCCCCTCCATGCCTCCTAGAAAGGCAGGGTTGCATAGTGATTAGAAGAAGAACAACAAAAAGGAACTAATTCTCAAAGTGTCCTCAAACCAGCAGGTGCAGTATATTGGCAAGACCTGAAACTTGTGAGAAATGTCTCATCCCAGGCCTAAGGAATGAGAAATTTTGGGGCTAGGACCCAGAAACCCATATTCTGACAAAAGCTCTAGATGACCCTGATGCTCAATCAAGGTTGAGGATCACTGAGTTAGACAATCTTCAATTTTTTGATTTCTTTTTTTGAGATGGAGTCTTGCTCTGTTACCCAGGCTGGAGTGGAGGGGGCGATCTCGGCTTACTGCAAGCTCCACCTCCCAGGTTCACACCATTCTCCTGCCTCAGCCTCCAGAGTAGCTGGAACTACAGGTGCCCACCACCACGCCTGGCTAATTTTTTTTTTTTTTTTGTATTTTTTAGTAGAGACAGGGTTTCACTGTGTTAGCCAGAATGGTCTCGATCTCCTGACCTCATGATCCACCCACCTCAGCCTCCCAAAGTGCTGGGATTAGACGCATGAGCCACTGCACCCGGCCGACAGTCTTCAGTTTTGAACATTCACACATACACATTTGCCCACACAAATCTCTGGATTTGGGAGTCACATAGACCTAGGTTTAAATTTTGTTCTGAGATTTCTTACAAGCTTGGGGAAATGACTCAACCTCCCTTAGCCTTAGAGTTCACCTTTGAAAGGTGAAGATTATAATAGTTCCTCCATGGCTCATTTGTGAGGATACATCTCTTGGTACAGTTGCATCACCCGGTAAACAATACGGTTTCTTCTAACTCTCTTCCTTATGTCTTCAGCGTCATCGCCACCATCACATTTGTCTCTTCTTCCTCAGTAGCTGCCCTGGTAAAGGCTCTGGGGCTGGCTCTTTTGGATCACTCATCACCATCTTCCCCTGCTCTCCCAGCCATGAGTTTTCTGTGTCTTCAGCATGCCAGACTTGATCTCTGTTCTCATCCAAAGAGTTCAAGAAAATGAGTTGCTAATCTTTCTAATGGTTCTGTGTTATCTGGAAAGACTCAAAGCAGGATTCCCTTTGTAACAAGTGGAGAGAGCACCCATTTGATTATTCTGCACTTTAGAAATGCTTACCGACTCCATGAGTGAACTGATGCTGTTTATCAGAGGGTCCCAAGTGCTGTCACAGACTGACAGCTTCTGTGCTGGTTATTTTACTAAGCTAGAAGTGAGCAGCTGATCAAATGAATCCTGTTTAGCTGACCCTGTACCTCAGTAGCCAGCAGTCACTATCACATAGCAGGAACTCAGTTTTAATGTTTTTTTATAGACCCACTGAGAGTTTGAAGCTGAGTAGAAACTGTGGAGAAGATATTTAAATTCTTGTGAATGTTCTCAGGCCCATCATTCTAGAGAGCATTGTATTGGAAGGATAGCAGGATCCATGTATATTTCTTCTGTCAATCAAGAAAAATGACGAGACAAGTCTCAAGCATTTTAGGGGATTTATCTGCCAAAGTTAAGGACGCACCCGGGGGACTGGTCTATGCCTTTCTCTGAAGATGATTTTGAGGACTGCAAATTTAAAGGGGAAAGGGCGGGAAATTGAGAAGTACACAATTTTCACATAAGAGCAGGGCAGGGAACAATAGTTATTCATAGTTATTCATGCCTTTGTCTGGCTCAGAGAACCTGCATTTTTTTTTTTCATAAAATGACATAAAACAAATGGGGCAGAGGAGAAATGCAGTGAAACTGCATTTTACATAAGATAAATATAGACACAATGGGGCAGGGGATCAATCATATATACATTTGTGTCTAGTGGGCTGGGGTGACTGCACCTGTAAAGATAAGCTATCAATTTTGATTGCCATGGTGAAACTTTAATAGCTCTCTAGGAATTTCCTTGTGGGCAAAATATGGCGGAGGCATGTAGTTTTTCATCTTGAAGCCATCTTATTTAGGAACCAAAAGGGGGAGACAGGTTTGTGTGACCCAGTTCCCAGCTTGACTTTTCTCTTTGGCTTAATGAGTTTGGGGTCCCAAAATTTAACTTTCAACTTCTTTTCACACTTCTTTCAAGAAATGACATCAGGATTAATGAATGGAGAATAACTAGAAACTTCCTA